TTAGCATACTCCACTAGGGAGTTCGGTATGAAGTAGGCTGGAGGGTTGAAAACCTCGGTCTGTGGATCGTGACCGAGCTTCTCAACAGCTGCCCTCCAGCCGCACTTGAAGAATAGCTCCTTGGCAGCCTCACACTGCTTGACATAGGCGTCCTCTGCCTTCTTGTAGCCTTGTTTTTCGGCTTCCTTTGCGTTCTCCTTCACTTGGGATATTTCGGCATCTTTCTTCCTTTCAAGCTTCACTAGCTCGCGCAGGTACTTGTCCTTTAGAGCAATGGCAGCCTTCTGCCTTTCGGCCTCGGCCGAACTAACCAATCCGGCCAGTCGGCCGTTCTCAGCTCGGAGCTCGGCCATTTGCTTTCTGGCCTCCTCTAGCTCGGTCGTTTTTGCTTCAGCTTCTGCCGCGGCTTGCCTTGTTATTTTCCTAAGCTCCAGCACTTTCCTATGAGTGATTTAGTTTTTCTGAATGGCCTGACAAAGCGAAGATTTCCCTTTAGCTGAAGTAAAAGTTGAAAAAAGAAAGTAGACAGAGAGACGACCGAAGTTACTTACCAGAATCATGGATTTTGTCGAAGACTGGATGGCCTTCAGTTCGGTGTTTAGTTGTTTTTGGTGGTGCTCCATGTCTTTGGGGAGGCACACACTCTTGGCCAGGTTGAAGGCCAACTGATGGTCTTTTCCAGCAACAATCGAGTCTGAGGCTTGGATGTCTCGGTTGTTGAAAGTTAGTTTCGGTGCCCAGCAACCGGAAGTTCGGTCAGAAGACTCCGGTTGGGGGCTCGGTGGTAAGCTCGGAGGAAGAGCAGGTTCTTCTTCGTCAACCAAAATTTGTTCGGTCTCAGTAGTCCGGGCGCGCTTGGTTCGGCGGGAAGAGGACGGCTGTTGAGAAGGGAGGGCCACAACAGCAGGCTGCGATTGGCTGGGTGGCGTTACTTCGGGCCTGGTTGTTTCGGTCAAAAGCGCCCTGACTCTGTTCTTCTTTGCCATCTCTTCTTCAGCTGTCAGTGGGATCAGTCTAATCTCGGGCAAGGATGGGTCCGATTCTGGGGCCTCTTCAAGGAGAAAGTCGGTTACTCTGGCTTTCCGGCGACCACTGTATCGGTAGGTCGGCTCGAATTTCAGCAATTTGGCCCAACTACGTTCAGGATATCGTAGTGCGGCTCGCAAAGTTGCAAGATTTGGATAGCTGTATAAGGAATGAAGGTGGGCAGAATCTGCGAAAGAAGAACTGTTAGTTCGGTTGATAGACTAACAAACCGAAATAAAAAAAAATGCAAGGAAGAAGACCGAAGTTAAATTATCGGGCTCTCTTTTTTTCCAATTTATAGGTCGGCCAGGGATCTGGGCTTGATAATCCTCAAAATTCCCAGAGACCCAGAAGAAATCATCGTCGTTTAAGTCTTTGTCCGGTGTATTTTTTATTATCTTCTCTCGGCGGCGACGTATTCTAAGATAATAGACCCACCCATCTTCCTTTGAACCAATTGAATATTGGTGGAAGATTTCGGCCAGGCCAAGGTTTAGTCCGGCTTGGCGGTTGAGTTCGGCTATTCCCATGATGATGAGGTATGAATTGGTGGATAGTTGGGTTGGGCATAGTCTAGTTTGCCTAAGAAACTCGCAAATCAATGGTTGAACTGGAAACCGTAGTCCGGTTTCTATTATGGATAGAAGGGTAAAAAGGACGAAGCGTTTGTTATCCCAGGGAATGACATCTTTTTCGGCTAAAGACAGGTGGACTCATCAGGTATGTTATAGTCCTTCCTGAATTCGGCTAAGCCGCCTGGAGTGTCTACTAGGTACCTATACTTCCCCATTTAAGGAATAAGTTAAGAATAAGTTATATCAGTGCAAAAGTTGTGCTTAGTAGCTCGGTTGAGCACACGGAGGAGTGCCTGGGCAACCTAAGTCTGCAAAGTAGAAAACAAAGGGGTTAAGCACAGATCATAGGACCGTGCTACAAATTAAAAGCAAGGTAAAAAAGCCCTACTTCGGTTTTATGGACAGGTTCTATCTCGGTTCAGCCGAAATGATTGGTAGCTCGGTTTGAGCAGGGTTCTTATTAGCCAGACCCTGGCAAATATCTCGGCATATTGGCTTTGGAATCAATTTTAGACCGGTTCATCGTCTAGGGGTAGCTTTCTGAGTTCGGTCTAAAAGACTAAGAAAGCTGGTTTAGCCCTAGAGGCATAAATCGGTTGAACTATGAGTTTTGTTACTCCGGTTGAGCCTCTAGGGGCAGCTTTCTGAGTATGGTTTAAAAACTAGGAAAGCTGGCTTAGCCCCAAGGCCTAGCTCGGTTTAAGACCGAGGTTCCTATTTTAATGGGTTCAAACGTCGTTCAATGAGCTTATCTCGGCTAGAGTGATTCAGGAGTTAACAACCTACTGAAACTGCTGTTATTTCTACAAGTTCTAGTTCGGTTATTTTCCAAAGAGATCTACCTTTGTAGGACAAACAGTATCCTAGTTCGGTTGCTACATGATTTTGGATCCAAAACTTGTTTTCTACAGAATAGTTCACACACATGGGTTCTGCTAATGTTGTTCCATGGAAGTTCAGAAGCAAAAACAAAAATGTAGAAGCATGTTTCGTAAAAACATAGAAAGCAGAAAGAAGAAAAGCAAAGCAGGTTTCTTGAAGCTTACTAGAGGAAGATGAAGCTAAAGGAGGAAAAATGGCAGCAAAGTCACAGCCTCTTCAAGTGCAACGGAAGAACAGCAAGAACACAGGAAGGAGAAAGAATAGAGTGATAGTCGAGTGGTAATCCAAAATATAGAAGGGGTTGTTTTGTGAAAAGGACGAAAGGAAAAAGGGCGGGATTGTTCAAATTTCATGAAGTACGAAGACGGCGTGATAGCCGTCCTCAGCTTATCAGAGCCTGCCACGTGTCATTAGAAAGTGAAGCGTTACAGTCACTGTGATTGAAGAGACGTTTAGACCGAACGAGTGGAGCCGGAGTGAAATAAACTCAGCTGGAGAGGCTACACGGTTTTTTAGCCCAGCT